ATTATTATTTTGCCTAAAACTAAAATAAAAAAAAAAAAAAATAGAAATGAAATGGTTGACTTGAAGGGATCGGGCTTGAAATTCAAATTTCTGTTTCTAAAAGAAAGCAGATCCACACTCCCATCTCAGTTATACTGACATGAGTCTGAAGTAACTGTATTCATGAACCTGATTCAGGCACCAGATACTCTATACTTATAAATCTATGGCACACTAGAACTCTTCTGTCCAAATGTAAACACATGTAAATTGTTACCTCCCTAGATAAAAGATAGCTAGTCATATAAGTTATTATCTAGGCCATTCAGAGATTTTACGTTTCCTTTTCATCAGTCCTCTATTCTAAAGGTAACCTCATGCAGAGCTCCAACAGGAGAACTACCCAATGCCACAGATATGCAAAGCTCTAAAATGTGGAAAAGCTTATACATATATGAGCAAGGAAGCTCAAAAGTGCCTGATCACATATTGTGATGCTGCCCTTTACCCTTTCTAGCAGTAGCAGTTTTTACCCATGGATTTAGCATTCCACGTTGCACTCTGAAAGTCTAAAACGCCTGCATCTCTATTACACTAATTTAAGGCTGAAAAACTAGACCAGAAAAAAACAGGACAATAATTTGATTGGCAAAGGACAATCTCATATGGATTATGAGCTTCGTGAGGTGCGTTAAATTTTTCAACCACCTGAGAGGTAAAGAGGAGCTGGAAAAACTAGACCAGAAAATAACGGGACAATAATTTGATTGGCAAAGGACAATCTCATGTGGATTATGAGCTTTGTGAGGTGCGTTAAATTTTTCAACCACCTGAGAGGTAAAGAGGAGGCTGCAGAAGCTGATGGACAGTCTCCTGTCCCTCTGTGAACAAGAACGAGCTGTGTAGAGTGCTGCTGCAGAGGAGGAACGACACCGGTCTCTCCCTGCAGCCTGATGTAGCACCACATAAGCCTGTGTGCACAAAGCAGAGGGTTACATCTGAACCACCTTGGGTTTCCTACTGTTTGTCTGCTCCTTTTCCATCAGTTTGGCTCAATCTATATCCTCAGGTAAACACAGCAAAAGCCAAAGCGCCACCTTGAGTGTAAATACCCCTCTAGGAGAGATGGCTGAGGCTAAATAGGACTCTAACTTCAAGAAATGCTGATTCTGGGCCGTGGGGCTGAGCTAACAGACTGGACACCAGCCACAGTTTTGGACTTTACTCTGGCAAAACTATACTAGAAATTTCCTTTAATACATAATTGTAATTTTTTAATACTTAAAATTAATTCAGTTCTAACACTCCTTTGGCTGCTCCTAGGAGGAGTTGTGCTTTTTCTAGCCTTTTCCTGCTACTTTCTGTTTACTAACACTCTCAGCACTGCACTCTGGCAAAACTATACTGGAAATTTCATTTAATACATAATTGTAATTTTTTTATACTTAAAATTAATTCAGTTCTAACACTACTTTGGCTGCTCCTAGGAGGAGTTGTGCTTTCACACTAGAACTCTTCTGTCCAAATGTAAACACATGTAAATTGTTACCTCCCTAGATAAAAGATAGCTAGTCATATAAGTTATTATCTAGGCCATTCAGAGATTTTACGTTTCCTTTTCATCAGTCCTCTATTCTAAAGGTAACCTCATGCAGAGCTCCAACAGGAGAACTACCCAATGCCACAGACATGTAAAGCTCTAAAATGTGGAAAAGCTTATATATTTACATCTACTCAGTGTAATATTCCTCTATCGTAACTGGGGATGAAATGCCTCACTATTATTTACATTATTGAATACAGAGGGGGGGGGGGGGAAAAAGGTCTATCTACTATTTCTGGAATTATTTTTCTTTTGATATGTCTTTGATCTTTTCCTTCACATTTTTGAGGAAGTGGTCCTACACAAATTCCCCTCCGAATCAAAGGGAGAATTTTGGGTTGTCTTCTCCTCCCGAGAGTCTCTACTGGGCAGAGGACTGTACTATCAAACTGGGAAATAGAGTATTATCCTAAATTTACAGCTTGGAAAGCCCTAATCACAACCCTGATATGCAGGTTGGAGGGAAGAGATAAAGTATTTATCATCTCATAAGTGGGCACCAGCGACGGTGGAACACCTGGGTTCTGTGCTGTTCCACAGCAACAGCAAAGAAAGAGCCCACAACAAAGAAAAGCCTCCAAAGTGCTACGGAGAAAAGACTGAAGTGTTCAAAATAGTGACACTGAAAAAAAGACTTTGGGCTCAACATTCACAGTATTTTACTAATCCTTTTCCAGAGGTGTCAAAATTGGTGTGCAGTCACTTCACTTCAGTCACGTCAAGCAACCTTAATATTTCTAAAAACTGGACATCTTTTTTATTATATATAAATTACATGCAAAATCTACTTCAAAAGCAGTCAAATTAATTCTCTGAATAAATATCCATTGTGAAGGACCACTTTACATTCTACTGGAGACACTCTAATGTAGAAATGCAAAAGTATGTCTGGCTGTTTTACTATCTTTTCTTCTTAAAAACATTAAACAAATAGTTAGGAAAAAAAAAGAAATATATTGTTAAACTTCTTTTCAAAGATTCACAAATATCTTATTGTAGAATTGAAGGAAATCTAGGAAATGTCCTATTCATTATTTTACACTGCTTTGCAGTAGTCTCTTCCACTGTGGAATAAGACAGTTGTGAGGTATGGGACTGGAATGATGTGTCTCAGATTCCAGCACTGCGGGTGTTTATTCTGTCCCTGACACAGACAACCCACATAACCTTTCCAAGATGTTAAGAATTACTCACCTAGAACAAAGAATTTTAGGAGGGTTAATTAATCCTCAGTAAAATCTAGCATTGAAAATGTAAAGTGATATTATGTTCTGAATTATTCAATCTCTCAAAGAATTTTTACTATCCTTAAAGAAAAGGCATGCCAGAATTTAAGGACTGCATTTTTGGATAGGACAAGAGGAAATGGCTTCAAGTTGTGTCAGGGGAGGTGTGGATTGGATATTAGGAAAAATTTCCTCACCGAAAGGGTTGTCAAGCTTTAGAATCACAGAATCACAGAATCTTCTAGGTTGGAAGGGACCTTAAAGATCATCTTGTCCAACCGTCAACCTCACTGACAAAAATAGACACCCACACAACAAACAAGGAGCATCATCACTAACCCATACCTCCCAGCACTACATCAACCCGTCTTTTGAACACCTCCAGGGATGGTGCCTCAACCCCCTCCCTGGGCAGCCCATTCCAATGGCTGAGAACCCTTTCAGTGAAAAATTTTTTCCTAATATCCAGCCTGAACAGGCTGCCCAGGGCAGTGGTGGAGTCACCATCCCTGGAGGTATTTAAAGGACTTGTAGACGTGGTGCTGAGGGACATGGTTAGTGGTGGACTTGGGCACTGCTGAGTTAACAGTTGGACTTGATCTTAAGGGTCCCTTCCCCCCAAAACAATTCTATGATTCTATTTATAGCTAGCATTGATAGATTTTATAGGAAAATACTTTTCAATGAAGACACCTACTTTTGCTTTTCTTCACTTTCCGTACTTTTGCTTTTTCTGTATCTGTTCTCTTCACGCTTTCCAGCCCTGTTAACCCCACCCTCTTCCTCTCCTTTTCTCTTTATTCTCTATAACCCCACACTCCTTGCCCTCTCTTCCGTAACCCTGGCCATTAACACAGTGGATGCAGCACCCCCTCGGGGATAGACTGCGGCAGCGGGCGCAGCACCCCCTCCTCGATCAGCACCGTGAGCTCCATCTGCCCCACCGAGCTGAAGGCCGTGTCTCGGATGGCCCCCAACATTCCCGTGGAGATGGAGCTGCCCGGTGTCAAGATCGTGCACGCTCAGTTTAACACCCCCATGCAGCTCTACTCAGATGACAATATCATGGAAACGCTGCAAGGCCAAGTTTCTACAGCGCTGGGGGAAACACCCGTAATAAGGTAATGAGCGCAGCCTCTCTAATAGTTGGGAAGACACACATTTAGAATATACCAAAAACCATCAGCTGGAATAATTTCAAACTCTTTCTACAAGACCAGGCTAAAGGGTAGGAAGAACCTAACTAATTCAAATCAGTTCAATATTTCCGTTAAAATATTAGTAATTTACTGGGTTTAACCCAAAGTATTAAAGGAGTCTTTCAGAACTTGCAAATAAATATTTCTCAGGAAAAAAGAATCTTATATTTGTACCTAACAAATAAAACCTGATGATACTACCTGGACTCTCAGCGGACTGACCACTCCAAATCAAGATTCTGATTCCCTCCAAAATTCAAAACTAGTTACGATTATTACTTATTTAATAACCATTTAATACCTTATTAATAATTAATCAAATATTACTGTTATTAACTCAAATTCATTCAACTGCTGAAATTCAGCTTATGAAGCTTAGGAAGTCTTCTAGATGTTTATAGAGTTCTAGATAGTTATCTCCCGTTGAGGACAACCCATTCAGTGCAACAAGCTCTTCTCCAAAAAGAGTAAAAATTTAGTTTCTAGGCCTACTAGTCTATCTCCAACTTACAAATTTTATCCATTGCAATAACTAAATGTCAGGTAAGGACCTTATGTATCTGGATAACAATGATGATTAAACAATAAACATTTTTTAAAGCACCATTCATTCTTTTCAAGTGGACAATTCATCATTCATATTATCTTTACTTTTGCAGAATAGTAGCTTATTTTTCTGTTTCACAACAGTACTTAAGTTAATAATTCATAATATGTATGGTGTAAACTAAAGCTAATTACTAATATTTTAAATAAGCAATAATCACTGGCACCAATGAGCCTTCTTCAGCACCTTGCAGGATCGGGCTGTTACTAACCATAAAAATCATATTTATAGAGAAATATTTAAGTTCACCCTATCTGATGGAAGAAAACTGCAGTTCATGAAGTCTTTGCAGAGTGATGTTACTCTACTGCATGAATATTTATCCTCAATCACAACAATTAGAGAACAATAAAAGAAAAACTGGCTTTTTCTTTATTCTGAAAGCATGGACTAAGGCCAGAGCCTCTACACAGGTTTGAAATGTCTTTTGCTGTGGGGTTCATTATGTATGCACTGAGAAGTGTCATCTCACACCTCTGTGTCTGGTGTTTTGCCTTCTGTGTGTAATGGTGTTACACTTGTTTGATGTTCAGGAATGTTTTAGTAAAGAGGAGAGAATCAAGGGTTTAATTAGCCATTGGCGAGAACTATAAAAACCAAGCTCCTCCTATTCACCAAAAGCTCTTGACAAGAGAAGAAAGCAGGAGTTTCTTCACCAGCTTAAAGCCAGCTCAGAGAAATCTGTTGATTGATGAAGATGCAAACAATTAGCACAAGCTACAGGGCTCCCTGCCCCACTGTGACCAAACCAAACCATATAAGGTCTAATTCCAGCTGGAATCAGTTGCGTATTTCCAGTAGAAACTCATTTAAGATTCAACAGACAGTAGGAGGCCAGTTGCAACAGAAATTTTAACGGACTTGGCATCAAAGTAAATTTGGACCTTTCTAATTAGTCCTGGTAGCAGTTTGAAATTTACAGATGCCGCACATTCAGCCTAATTCCTGCCAGAGAATGTATTCCTCTACTCTTCCTCTCAACTACTCAGGTTGTTAGAATGGTAATTATGGAGTTTCATGAGTTTGTATGTTTATTTTTGTAACGATTGCACAGCTACATTTTTTTCAGCACTTTTTAGATCTATATAAAGCACTTAAGATCACTATATAAAGCAATGGTACCTTTCAGTAGCTGTAGAAACGCGTTGTCTTAACGATGGTATCCCGAATCGTGTTCTGTGCCTGGTGGAGCCATTGCTTTAAAGTCATGTTTGTTCAACTGCTTTATCTGCTCTTCCTCCCTGTGATGCAGCGACCCCTCTCCCAACTCGGTGCCTCAGTCCGACGTCTACAGGATGCTCCACGCCAACCAGGAGGAGCCCAGCCAACCTCGCCAGTCTGGCTCCTTTAAGGTGCTCCAGAATTTAGTCTCCGAGGAAGGTGGTTAATAACGACGTATTTTACCTGTTCAAAGCATTTTGAGATGTTTGTGGGAAGGGGGAATCTGGGAAGAAAATAAGAGATCAGAGCTATGAGAATTTCTGAAAGCCTAAGTCATTCTGAATCTTAGAGAGAGCACACCAGTCCCCTAACTTTCCTGCCCCCCCCCACCTTGCATTTATACCTAGCAATCTCCTGTGGGAATAAAATGGGGATGTTAAGCACATTTTTTCAGATTTTCATTAATTAAGATCATTAATCAAGTTGACTTTAACTGAATGATAAAAAGCGTTACGCAAGAGAAATTTTGGGACAAGCTGCATATAATCATGACACCAAGAAAGAAAACACTCGCTTCCACACCCAGGAAAAGAGACATCTAAACCAATTCTAAATTACATTTCACCCATCCCCTCCTCATTCTAAACAAAAATTGAAAAGGACAATATAATTTATAGTCATATTTCCTTCAAACTAAGAAGTTTTGAAAATAACATAACTATAGGCTGCAAGTTTGTTATATTTCAGTAAGTGTAAAACACAACTGAAATTAACCTAAAAGATAAATAATCAAAATTTTAATTTTTATATTTCAATATATGCCAGAGAAGGGATAAATACTAAGGGCTGCAAGTTTGTTATATTTACAGTAAGTGTAAAACACAACCAAAATTAACATAGAAGATAAATAATTAAGATTTTAATTTTTGATATTTCAATATATGCCAGAGAAGGGATAAATTCATCTAATTGTCTATATATGACATTGTGGGATTTTGCTTGGTGTTTTCTTGTATTTTGCTTTAACTTTGTATTCATACCATGTTACTAATCTTGAATGCTTAGTCGTATAAATAAGCAGCTTTCTAACAATAGGTCCAGCCTCTTTATGTTGCTTTGTTAAAGCCAAATCCTCCTCCCTCTCCTGCTATATGCAACACCTACTATCAGAGAATTAGATGATGTATATGAGACTATATATATAATCAATTTTCTACTTGCTTTTTGGCTACAGCTACACAATACTTTTTCTCGATTCCAAAGAGGTGGAATCTGGTTCGTTAAACTTGTCTAGAGAAACTTTGTTATTTGTTGCTATAAGTGAAAGCCTGTAAATACACGCAGAAGTGTATTTACAGGCAAAGTATTAAACTGCATCAGGTGCTTTTATTTTAGCCTGTGCATAACAGGATTGTTTTGGTTCTCAGACGGACGCCCTGCGGGCACAAGAAGTGTGAAAGCACCGGTGACGAAGATACCGAGTGCCATGCCCGGTGTGCAGAAGGTGCCACTGTGTGACAAGTGTGGGAGTGGGATTCTGTGAGTGGCTTCTTGTTTTAGAAATCTCTTTCGTTTTAGAAATCTCTAGTTCAAGCACTGTGTCCTGAAACACCACTGCAGGACTGCTTTCCAAGTGATGGTCTTGGTTTTCCGCTGCACTAGTAGAAAAATGCTTCCAGAACACAGAGATTTAACAACATTATATTGGATAATATATATTATGTATATTTTACATATATATATATTTTTATATATATTATATATTCCCCAGTCTTGGACACTTCTAAGATTCAGCTGGACAGGGCGCTAGGCCACCTTGGCTAGACTGCGCTTTTGCCAAGAAAGGTTGGACCAGATGATCATTGAAGTCCCTTCCAACCTGTGATTCTATAAAATAATTACAAAAAAGATGTTGTTCTAAATCCCAAATTATTAACTTGTCCCTTTGGATACTAAATCCCAAATTATTAAATTGTACCTTAGACACTTTGGATACAGATGATTTCAGTTTCGACAACGTACCATCAAGGCTTTAAGATTTTCAGGACCTTTTGCAAGTCCATCATTAAGACATACACAATGAAAGCAGTGCTCACCTGTGCTGCGTTGTCTCAGGCTGTGAAGGATTAAGTCTCATGGTAGTGTGAAGCATCTTCTCCCAGCCCAGAAAGCTCTGTGGGCCTATTGAAAAACTACAGGATTTCTGTCTGAATGACATCACTAACTTCAGCAAAAAACACAGGAATGTTATGTCACTTACACAAACTCAGCTTCCAACCTTAAATTATACAGTATTTGGCTAGTATATAATAATATATATATTTTATATATATATTATATATGTTATATATTGTTTTATATATATATATACACATATAATATATAAAACCACCAGACAAACAACCTAAAAGCCTTGAGATAAATACCTAGAACTTACTTTGTGTCATGCTGTGGTTTCTTCTCACTTTAATATAGAATCATAGAATAATTTGGGTTGGAAGGGACCTTAAAGATCATCCAGTTCCATCCCCCTGCCCTGGGCAGGGACACCTCCCACCAGGCCAGGTTGCTCAAGGCTCCATCCAGCCTGGCCTTGAACCCCTCCAGGGATGGGGCAGCCACAGCTTCTCTGGGCAACCTGGGCCAGGCTCTCACCACCCTCACAGCAAAGAATTTCTTCCCCAATATCTAATCTAAATCTCCCCTCTTTCAGTTTAAAACCCTTCCCCCTTCTCCTATCACTCCACTCCCTCATGAAGAGTTCCTCCCCATCTCTCCTGGATCCTCTTTAGGTAGTAGATTAATACGAATTAATTGTGGTTTTTTTTTCCTTTCCATTATTTCCACGCAGAGGGACAGTGGTGAAGGCCCGTGACAAATACCGGCACCCGGAATGTTTCGTGTGCTCTGACTGCAACCTCAACCTGAAACAAAAAGGCTACTTCTTCGTGGAGGGACAACTCTACTGCGAAGCTCACGCCCGAGCTCGCATGAGGCCACCGGAGGGATATGAAGCAGTTACTGTTTACCCAAAATGCTAGTCTTACCTTAACACACAAAAATCTATGCATGCACACACACAAAAAAAAAGCCATTAACAGCGTAGAACTGCCGTACAAGTGTCAGGACTTCTGCCTGGTTCCAAAGTAGCAGCTTTTAAACCTTTTCTGGCGGGGTTCTGAGGGAGGTGGAAGTCCCCGTTGGCCAGCAGTAGCGTGTTACACCAGTAAAATTCTGCTAAAATATTATCTTCCAAGTTGCCAATATAATTCAATGAAGTATAAACTAAAACAGCTGTACTGGAATAAAAAAGGTAAACAGCTGAGGTCTTACACAATTAATACAGTATATACGTAAGTGCTGTAATCAAGACATTATTTTTAATGTAAATTAAGTATCACCGAAGCCATCCAAGTGTTACAGGCTGGGCCCTAACAAACGTAGAAACTCTACAGATCATTAGAAAAGCAGCTATTTTACATGGATAGTACAAAACAAGCAGTTGTTCATGTCTGCTTCCACCATCTATTATTCAACCACCACTACGGTATGCCAAAAAAATAGATTTTGCTTACTTTGCTTTGAATTTGGGGTTATATTGACCTAATTTTCTGATGCAGCAACTGTGATGAGGAAAGAAAATGGCTAGCATAACAAAGACTGTTTAGTAAGAAGTAAAATAGAAGTTCTACATTGTTTTAATGATTTGCAATGGAATCAGCTTTCACACCACTCAGCAGAAAACTGTTCTAAGGTATGCACACACATACATTGTTTTTTGGGGAAAAATCCCACCAAAACACACACACTCTAATTCATAGGAAGTCTTTGCAAACTGAGAATGAAAGTAAACTTAAAAACCTTTCCGCAGAAAATGGTGCTGGTTTTTTTAGCATCTCCGTCTTTCCATTTCCAGAATAGAAACAATGGGGAAATATCATCACAATATCTTTATCGCTGGTAAATTAAAACTTGGACAACTTTAAAAATAAATGTCAATTAAAAGATGCAAAGGGAAGATATTTTATAAATAGCCTGGTGAAGTCCTAAGAAAAAAAAAGAAATGGATGAAAGAATACAGTTTTTAAATCAATTTCTGAAATGTTTGAAGGGCTACATTGCTTTCAGGTAGGTGCCAGTTACACACACAGACCTGACTGACAATCTCAATCTTAGCATTTTCCAAAAATACCAACATAATTCATAAATAAGTTATTGGGGGCTTTTGCTTCACACTAGAAAAATCTACAAAATTTTATATCATCTACAAGACTAACAGAAATTAACAACTCAGAGGCAAACAATCTTATATACTTTTCCCATTCTACAACAGAAGATGCTTAATATGTAAGAAGACTATGGAATCAAAGAAAGAAGCTATATATACTTTAAGTTTATTTTTAAAATTCAGATGAGCCCCAAAGCTTGAAATACAATGTCCACATATTCAAAGAATTTTCAAAGTGTCTTAAAGTATTATTTCAGAATTTAAGTATTTTAAAAATGTGCGTGTCACTGCATTCATAATTTATGTCTGGCTATCAAAAACAGACATTAAAAAAGTGTTGTGCCCTTTTAAAAGTTAGTTCCTGAATTATCTGGGGGCACAAAATATAATTCCGCTCCTCATGTATCACGGAGGATATGAGTAGCATTTCTATTTTTCCACTGATAAAGCCCATAAAATAAATCTGAAAATCCTTTTTGAAGTGAGAGTGCACTTAACGTCTATTTTTACAAACCTAAAATGTCATCGGTGTTTTAAAATATTTGCTTAACGTTCATTTCTTTGTGGAGTAACCGAAGTTAAAAATAAATCTATTACATATGGTAAAGATTCTGTATTTCTTTTCAACTGGTATGAAAAATGAGAAAGCGTGAGTGTCAAGTGACTTGACAATAATAGAAGTTTGGCATTTTCAGCCTGACAGAAGAGTGTGCTTCCGATTTATCAAACCACGGGCAAGAATGAGATACAATTTTTGTATTAGGCATTTGAGTACATGACCTGGGCAAAATTCCCTTTCTGAAGCTGAATGAGATCATGTGCTTTCAGAACTGAAGACCCAAAACTGCTGTCTCTCTAACGGGCCGAACAGACCAATCGTAAATGTGGCAAAACTCTCAGAAATGTAGGCACAAGAACTGTTAGGTTAAAAGAAAGTCACAGGACATGACCTGATGCCAAAACTTTGGGGAAAGTTCAGTGGTATTGCATCATCACATGGAGCTATTTTGAGAGGTTTGAGGTTGGACGTGACTTTGACCGAAGGTAAGACTATCCAATTGCAAGTACCAACCTGTGGGAAAACCTTTACACCAATATAACAAAAGAAACAAAGATTTTCAGCTAATGCAGATTCTAAAATCCTCAATCCTGACAGAGGAGAAAAATAGGAAATTTCGTCCTACATTCTGGGAGAATTGAATATAAGAGATTTAAATGTGAGAGAAAGGCATAGCAATTCTCCTATCGCGTGCTCAAGGCTGAATTCTTTATCTCAGTAGGGTGTCAGCAGCTCCTGGCACAAATCCTTTACAAAGCGTCCAGCTAAAGAACTACCCACTTCATCTTCTGGCTTAAGAATGGCATAACCAGTAAATCATGAGAGGTTAATGCTACTGTGCCTCTCAGCTGTGTCCAGACTTGTTTATATATACACATATATATTACAAGCCGCAGAGAGCCGTGGCATTTATTTTTAGATGGAGAGAAAGATAGTAAGTGTGACTTCACACACTGGTTATCTCGACTCTTCAGATGTCCATCAACAGGTGTGAAAAGCTTGCCTCGGCTTTGCCACCGCGGCACAGATGGCAGGGCTGTGCTGGGAGATGGGAAAACCTTAAATGAAATTGTAATTCTCCGTATGAGCAAGCCAAGAGTAGCATCTGAAAATACACAGAGTCCTTTATACGGTACTTTTGTATCAATTGTTCCACCACAAATGCTTTCGCTCTTTTAAGTAATGCTGAAGTGTTGTCAACGATTTGAAACCTAAAAAGTTCTCTAAAGTAGTTAAAAAGTAAGTTTAAAGTAGTTTAAAGAAACTACTCAGGAACTCTTTTCAGATTTTCAACCCCGTTTTGTCACTTCAAAGATTAGACTAAAGCTTCTGTTCAGAAGTTTGTTATTGAAAGTAAATTCAATTTACCCTACGCTTTGGTTCATACCACACAACAGCTTCAGAGTGCACAAAGTGGGTTCCTTCACGATGAAATTCAATTAGAAGATGAGCACTGCTAACGAGCACCGACCACTGATGGGAATTTGGTCCATAGCATCAAACTAGAGCCAACCAGCCCCTCCCTGAAACACCTATTAAGGAGGTGCCAGGTCCTCCAAACCCACCGAGCTGCCCCTGCCACACCACGGTGCCCGCTAACCCCTTGGAGCAGGTCTTGCAACTTTCATAAAGAGAAAACCTCTTAACAGAAATTAAATTACTGGCCTTTTAATACTAGAGATACACCCAGTCTCCAAATTTGGGCTGAGATGTACCAAAGGAACATCACATCCCTGCTCATACCTGGCTTCAGATGTCTCAAAGTTCAGAGGTGTTTGATCAAGAATTTCGGTTCAAATTTCTATAAACCATATGAAGGGAAACAATCGTGCAGTTAGGTATAGATCTGACTTGTATTTAAAATACATGCACTTGATTTAAACTCTATTTTAGGGGGGCTTCTTCACAAGGACATTATTATTATTATTTACCTAGTGGGTTCATACATATTTATAAATGAAATGGTGGGAAATAAAACATGCTGTTGGCATATATCCAGCAAATATTCTAAAGGCAGCCATACTCTGCAGATTTGCCCTTTTCTGTCTCTTTTTTCTCCTCTCACCCAGGCAAGCTACTCAGATAGCTTCTTCTGATATTGTTAACAAGAAAATTCCACAAGCACATTATTCCTTTTTTCTTAACACATGAAGCCTTAAAGCATACAAGAAGCCATCAACATATGCTCAGCATCACCACCTAAAATGTTTGTCTCCACAGCTCAGGCTTGATAAGCAACATTATCTACACAATGTCCAAGTTCACAAAGGATTTTGTTCCTATATATGGTAAAGCACAGTTTTGTTTTAACATTCTGAGTGAGTGTTTTTAGTTACACCCAGGCTACCTAATCCTCCCTCTCCCCACACTGGGGCACGATCCAAAGACCAAGAAAGCTTTTAGGAAAGTCTTGAAAGATTGTATATTCTACTACCCTGACAAAAAATGCTCTCTTTGGCACAGGCTAGGACAGTTGTCCAAAATAAAACTTTAAGGAAACACCATGTAATATACAATTCACGTGCTGACAAAGCTCCAGCTGCGTTGGAGTGACAAATCCAGAAACACAGAAGCTGTAGAGTACTTAAATCTTATTATTTATTACTCAGAAAACAAAATATTCAGTAAATACCAAAAGGGTTCTGATCAAAAGTCTCTTGGCAAGCTTTGCACAGTCTTGATTCTTTCTTTTCCAGATACTGTTCAAAACCAGATTTTTATAGATGTCTCATTCTCTGTATAATGACCTTTTTAAAAAATCTTTTTAGTATATTCTTGATTTTAGAGGCTTTTAATTATACTGCTTAAACCAGCAGCCTATAAAAAGTTAAGTATTAATTAGACCAGATACACTGGAGAGATATGACTGGAACATTATGTTTAATGGCAAAAAGGGGAAAAAAAAAAAGGTAATACATTCAGCCAAATTGTCTCAGGATGTTCAGGCCAAAAACAAGTTTTCACGTTATGATAAAAGCAATGTTGTTTATGATTTTATGCAAAACTCATAGCTTGTCAGTAGCGGCACAAGCCACAAGGCACAGAAATATTCAGTCCAGGCACAGAAATATTCAGTCTGTTTGCAGATAGAAAGGAATTTGCACACAGAAAGCTTCCCAGCACCAGCTCTGCATTTCTTGCAGACACACAAAGCACAGGCCGAAGGAGTTTGAGGAAGAGTAAATCCCAAAGAAATTCTATGATTGCACAAAGTTCAGTCTTTGGGTCTACTTACAGGTAAAATAACCTTTTCACAGGTTATAAGCCCTTTCAGTTTGTGTACGGAACTCATTCAACCTATTAATTATAGATGAATGCTATTTATGATTGAAATTTCTCTAATTGGCAGTGTCACAAATAATTCTCACCACTGCTATACTTAGCAGAGATTGGACTGGTAACCTTTTTACTTCTACAACTTGCACATTCAAGAAAGCTGGGAGTGGGTTAACACTGACAAACCTGAGAGACTTAACTATGAGACATTTATTTTGGCTTTTTTAATATTTTCCAAGAATTGCATCCCTTTCTGCCATTTTATTCTTGCAAATTTCCCCAGTTTCATTTTACTTTCACTGCAGAAATATCCCCACCTGCTCCACCACAGCCACTTTTACAGAGAGCTCCTGCTCACTGCTCCAGATCTCTTGCACCTCTTATGCCAATTCAAAACTATATGCAAGTAGGATGTATGAGGTGAAAAGCAGAATTGTTTCAAAGTTAGATTCTTCCACTGTCTACCTTATCTCCTTTTATTATTTATAAGAGAGGCATATATTACAAGAAGACTCAGCAACAGAGATGGCCCAACTGTATCAGCTGCTGTACAGAGAACAAGAAATAATTGGTAGCCCACAGCTTAAAATTCAGACTAAGAGGACAAGGCAATTACAGTAAGGAAGGGAAAAGACACAATAAGAAGGATAAATTCTAGGATAATTTATAAACATTTTGTTCTTTTGCTTTTTTTCATATCAGGTTGGTGGACTGAGGCTGAAATAAAGCTGTAAGAGTTACAAAGGGAGAGAAAAAGGCACAAATAGCCATTCAGCACAAAGAAAGAACACACAGAGTAAAATGCGTAAAAACCAGTCGTACACCAAGACCCCAGCAAGATCTTTTATCAGCTGACCCAGTTGCTGGCTGGCTTATAACAAATTCTCTCTTCCCTAAACTCAAATTGATTAGATAAATGAGAGACCAGGTAAGGATGCTGCTCTGTGTTAACAGCAATAGTTCTTTACACTTCTGTTTGAGTATAAATTCATTTATGACTACACAGCCTCAGGGATTTCAGGAGATTCTTTGATCCTAACACAAGATTATAATTGAATAGTTCTTTACTATTCTATAAATTCATTTATGACTACACAGCCTCGGGGATTTCAGGCGATTCTTTGATCCTAACACAAGATTATAATTCTAAAAATGTTCACTTACTTCTTCCCTGACTCATAATTCATCTACCTCTTTTCCATTCTCACTATGACTTGTTACAACATTCTTCGCTATGAATACACACACCACATGTTAATTGTCTATTAATTGCCTTTCCTACATACTTCCTATTCACTGCTTATTAACAACCTGCCTCCCTGAATCAAGAGCTTCTCTCACCTTTGACAGAGTATGGAAAAATACCATTTCAGGAACGATGCACTGAGATACAGTGCTGTCTTTCCTTATGGGTCCACAAAAATGCTAATGAGGTGAGTTCCTTAATTAAACGTGGAGTTCTAATGACTCTGAGACTGTGCTTTGAAGGTCACACCTAAGCACAGATGTAGCTTTTGACGTGTTAGCAAAAACTGTTATCAGCTATTGCCCTGCTCTAGGCAGAAGTAAGGATTGAGTAAAATATGCTTTAACATGGTAGCACCTGGGCAAATAATGAGCTGTCAAATTAATCATGGTTCTACTCTGGCATGTAATGAAAAAAGCAAAACCTTCACGGCACTCAGACTGCAGTGCTGCTCAGTGACGTGTTAGCAAAAACTGTTATCAGCTATTGCCCTGCTCTAGGCAGAAGTAAGGATTGAGTAAAATAT